GAGCTTGGTCTGGTGATAGTCAAACTAGGTAAGAATACTATTAAATCCTCACTGATCCAGTACACACAAGTTTTTCCACACCCTCGTGTATTTTCTGGTGCCTTTTAAAAGAGAAAACCCTTATGGCGGTTATCCATTACCAGTACCAGCTCGACTCGGCTCGCTTTTCGCTCCGTTTTCCATTGCAGACAGTACCGCCACAAATAGTACCCGGTCGTCATAGCGACGCCTTTTGTTCCTCGCCGCCCCATCGAGCTCTCGCTGGATCCTCACTTCGGCAACCAAAGGAAAGTCTGCACCTCCTCGTTTGACCACGGCGTATTCTTCAGAGTTGCCATAATAATAGTAGTAAGTTTAGAAACTATCTCTGGCCAAACTATTTAAAAATGGCGGGGTTATTCTGGATACTCCATCTGGTGTGTGCAATGATGACGCAGTGAATGGTGACGATTCTCTCCGACCAATCAGCAGTCGGCATTGTTTTCACGTCACATTTTAGTACAGGCTCAGCTCGCGCAGAACCTCGCCGGAGGTGGTACTAAAAAAAGTACCCGAAAGCAGGTACAGGTACAACTTTTACACAGTGGAAAACCACTGGGGAGCCGACCCGAGCAGAGTCGAGTCGAGCTGGTACTGTGTAGTGGAAAAGGTCCATTAGAAATTTCATACCACAAACAGGACAGAGGTCAGTCTTTTTATTAGATATGCACTTCTGGTGGTTCTTCAGTAATGATGACAATGCAAATATTTTACAGCAGTGATCAGTTAAATTGCCATACAACAGAGTGAGAGCGTGCAGATGACATCACAGTTCCATTAAAGTCTCTTCTCACACGGATGACATGCATAAGGCATCTCTTATGCTACGTTCACACACTGGACGCGAATAGCACGTCAAATTCTAAAGTCTAGTTTGACGCTTGACCACTTTGTGTTAATTCGCACTTCAAGAGCGAAACTGACGCGGGTAAAATAAAAAGTTTGAAGCGAAATGTACACGCGTCAAAACCGAAACCCGTTGACGGCCATCTTTGTTTATGTTGATCGAGCATTCATCAAGAGATTCACCGTCGCCGTATTTGTGTCCACCGGACCCTTCGGAGGCGAACCGTTTGGCGAGTTTCACCATTTGTTCGCTCCAGGAGCTCCGCCTGGATGACGGCCGCTGTCAGGGGTACTTCCGCTTGTCCCGCGCCCAGTTTGATGACCTGTTGTCCCGCATCGGAGCGAGGATCACCCTCTCCCTCATCCATCTAATCGGTCATTTATTTTTGTTTTGATGATAAATAGAGCCAGCCTCCAAAAGTTATTAACTTGTCCTGTGATCTCATGTCCAGACAGGAACTTACCCAGACAGCAAACTGACATTGAATCAACGTGGAAACGACGTCTCTCATGACATTGAAACAACGTTGATTTTGCTCATCGAATTAACGTTGAACCAACGTCAGACGCGGCATTCTTCAAAGCTAAATGAAAATCGAAAATTGGTTTGCTTTCATAACGTTGAAACAACGCGTTGATTTCAAGTTGATTTTCCGTTAGTTTTGAAAGAATGACGCGTCTGACGTTGGTTCAACGTTAATTCGATGAGCAAAACAATGTCAGATCAACGTTGTTTCGATGTCATATTTCCACGTTGATTCAATGTCAGTTTGCTATCTGGGTATGCACATGTATGTTGGTTGTCTTTACTCTTTACATCATACTATTTCATATAATCTGGATATGGAATGAATAACATTCAATACAAAATGAACATGTCTCGTATATAGAAATAATGTTTTAAGTGCTAAAATATTTGCTTTGTTGTGCATAATCCCACCATACTTTTAGTCATATTACAAAATGATTTATTGAAGCATCCAGACACCCTCACCACATGAGCAAGCAGCGCTAATTGAGGCCAAAGTTCAGATTTCTCAACTCGGCGGCAGACGCGAATTCACGTCAAACGCGTGAATGCACAAATGGCACTAACTAAATCGTTTGCGCTTAACGTGCCAGACGCGCGAATGACACGTCTTCCGTGCCGCGCTCTACGCCTCAAGGCCAATTTATACTTCTGCGTCGAGGATACGCCGTAGTGTACGGCGTTGGCTACGCACGTAGGCGACGTCGTTGTGAGCATTTATACTTCTGCGTTCAGGTCTTGGTTGCTCTGTAGTATTACTCCGAAACGCTAGTTGGCGGCGGAGGGTTTTAATGTTCCACTGTGTTTAGATTCCTCACGGCTAGGTTACTACAAGCAATAGCGACTGAAAGAGAGCTGATCATGTTGGAGTTCGAGCTTATTAAGGTGGAAAAACAGTTCACTTTAGTGAAATTACTAAAACTGAAAGGCAGAAATGAGAGAAGACTTCGGAGGAGATGAAACGTGTGGAAATCATAGACAGTGGTGGAAATGCGTGAGAAGGTACATGCGGAAATGCGTAGGAGGAAATGCAATGCTACCAAGCCGACCAATCACCGATCTTGCGGTCCGCATCGTCGCGACGACGTGCGAAGGGTACGCGCTATGGGACTGTGCGTATGCTACGCCGTACCTACTGCGCGCACCCTACGCAGAAGTATAAATTGGCCTTCATTCGCGCCCGCAGGAATTTTTTTACGCGCATAACGCGTCTTTGCATTGACTTAACATTGAAATCATTCGCGTCCGATGTGAACGCACCATTAAGTGTGAATTCTCACATGAATTTTAAATGCTTTTTTACAGGTGAAACTACTCTCACACTGAGAACAGCTGAAAGGCTTGATTCCAGCATGATTTAACATGTGAGTCTTAAAGTTTCCTTTACGTGTAAAAGTCTTTCCACACTGAGGGCAAGTGAACGGCTTTTCTGAAGTGTGAGTCACCAAATGAGCATTAAGGTGTGATATCTGTGTGAAACTCTTTCCACACTGAGAGCAGGTGAAAGGCTTTATTCCAGCATGAACTAGCATGTGCTTCTTCAGGCTTTCTTTACGTATAAAAGTCTTTCCACACTGAGAACAGGTAATAGGCTTTTCTGAAGTGTGAATAAGCACATGATAATTAAGGTTTCCTTTCTGTGTGAAACTCTTTCCACACTGAGAGCAGGTGAAAGGCTTTATTTCATTATGAACTAACATGTGCTTCTTCAGGCTTCCTTTACATCTGAAACTGCATCCACAATGAGAGCAGGTGAAAGGCTTGATTCCAGCATGACTTAACATGTGATTCTTTAAGTATCCTTTACGCGTAAAAGTCTTTCCACAATGAGGGCAAGTGAAAGGCTTTTCTGAAGTGTGAGTCACCAAATGACCATTAAGATGTGATTTATGTGTGAAACTCTTTCCACACTGAGAGCAGGTGAAAGGCTTTATTCCAGTATGAATTAGCATGTGCCTCTTCAGATTTTCTTTACGTGTGAAACTCTTTCCACACTGAGAGCAGGTGATAGGCTTTATTCCAGCATGAATTCGCATGTGCTTTTCAAGGTAGCCTTTAAATGAGAAAGTCTTTCCACACAGAGGGCATGTGAAATGATTATTTCCTCCAGCATGAATTAACGTGTGATTCAAAAGGCTTCTTTTATGTTTGTAAGTCTTTCCACACTGAGAACAGGTGAAAGGCTTTTCTGAAGTGTGAATAAACAAATGCTCATTAAGGTATGATTTATGTGTGAAACTCTTTCCACAGTGAGAGCAGCTGAAAGGCTTTATTCCAGCATGAATTAGCATGTGCTTCTTCAGACTTTCTTTACGTGAGAAAGTGTTTCCACACTGAGAACAGATGAAAGGCTTTTTCACTTCTGTTATTTGGATGTTGCTTTGTGAGCAACTGTTTTTAGTTTTGGAGCAACTCAATGGCTTCTCTTCAGCGGTGACATCATGAACTTTCTGGTGATGTTTCTCCTCCACTTCATTCAGATCTGGTCTTTCCTCTTTCACTTTCATCAGGCCTGAAATGAAAACATTAAAATGAAGAAAATCAATTGGGAGAGTTGGAAAATAAAAGTAAATTAGGGTATGTTCACACAACAACGATGGACTGAATATTTAAATGTTTTCCCTTCACATTTAAAAAAAATGTGGACAGATGACAACGTTGTCAAAACAATCCCTGTTCACACAAATCCATAAACGAAAACCGCTGTATTGTTCTTCATCTTCATGATTATGGAACAAAATACAGGCAAGTGATAAGACTATAATACCTAATAGTGTTACAATAATAAGAACAGCCCTGACTCCTAAGCTCGATCAAGCTTTATTCAATGCTAAATAAATCATCACATTACTCTAATTATATTATAATTGATAATATTATTTCTATTATTAGTAGTATTGTAATATCTAATAAAGAAATTTACGTTACCAGTAGTTAGAAACACTGAATTCTCACCGGCTCCTCTTTTGCCGGGATGTTTTCTTTTTAAGTGCTCCGACATGCATGTTGTGCTCCCGTGAAAAGCAAGTTCCGCCTTGTATGTATTGTAAGACAGCATTGTTGGTTTTAATTTTTGTGAAACTTTCCCAAACCTTGCTAGTTCGGATTTGTTTGCACTCCGTCATAATTCGCGCTATTTTTTTCTTTTCCCACAATAGCACTTGTGGCTGCATTACACTCTAGCGCCAAAGCGCCGTAGCGGTCAAATCGTGATATTGCATGCCCTATACAGTCAAGTAAGATCAGACTACTCGACAACAAAGATATTTGTCGACAATTTTTTTTATTGTAAAATGCCGACTAATCGTTAATTTCAAGCCTGAACAGTGGAACCTGATTGAGGTGCTGATTCAGGTCCTTGAGCCCTTTGCAACCGTGTTTCTGAGAGTACAGTTATAATATACACTCTCTGCACTCCCACAGCTAGAGCACAAACTTAATACAGAGTCCAGATCTTAAACTTATTAGCGCCTAGTTCTTAAATTAAGAAATTCAAGACTTTTAACAGATCCATGATGTGCACCATGTTTAAAGCTTTGTTAGATATGTACCACAACAGTCATTAGATGAATGAAGAATCACCAACCTCCTTGTTCCTCGTGTTTTATTCTCCAGGGTTCTGGTTCACTCATGTCCTCCTCACTCTCCTCTTTAACAAACACCATCTTCACAGCAGCAGATCTCAGTTCAGTTGATACTCCTCCAGATATTCCTGCTTGCTTCAAAACTAGTCACGTGTATGAGGATGGGAATATTACAGGCATTTATTGACCTGATTTAAAATGTATCTTTCTGTACACTAAAAGTAAATTTCTAGCAGTTTGTATTAGGCCAGCAACGCGACAAAACAGCAGAGATCATGCTGAAACTAATCTTCTTCCTCTGAGGTGGTGGTCGGCAAACAAACGCGTGTGTCTTACCGCCACCGACTGGACTGGAGTGTGAAGCGTCGAGAGGAGAGGAAAAATGGGGAAGAAATTATTTAGCTCGTATAGAAGCTATATTGCATTTTCCCTTTAAAAATAGATTTGCTAAAAGAAGAGAAAGGGAGTTAAATGTATTACAATCGTATGGGATTCGAGTTGCATCAATGAAAGAGGATTAGAAAAACGAGAGAATTTATTCCAGTTGTCAAATTTCTGTAAAAATCACAGAACGTTCCCTAATTGTTGCTTTTGATTACTTATAAAAGTCATAAACTACATTTTACAGAATGACTTAGGTTAAAGCATTTAAATATAGTAAAACCTACTCATGTAGTATCAGGGTGAAAAAACAACAACAATGATATATCGTTGGGTTATTATGCGTCTACAGTCTACAAACCTGGGAGTTGAACAGGGGACTATTGAAGGTAATGTGAATCCCATATCGATTTAATATATAATTTTTGATAGTGTTCCTGAAAAACTGCTTTTGAGTTTCAAACTTGTCATTGAGCTCGATGTTGCATTTTGCAGCATTATGCCTTTGGGTGTCTAGTGCTGTGCAAAGGAGTCTGCGTTTTGGTGAAGACAATTTTGAGGATATTATTATATTTTCCCTCCAACATTGGAAGAAGCTCTGTGAGACCTAATTTCAGAGCAAGATATTAAGCATTCAATAATTAGCACTCAAAAACAGTGAGATTCCAGTTGAGTCATTACCAGTTTGTTCCAATGATTCTTACAGTATAAAAATAGCGTTCGGAAAAATAGGTCTACAGTTTTATAACGAATGCAAACACCTGTTGGAAATAATCTTTTGCAGCGATTTTTGTCAGAGCATATCAGTGGACACCCCAGACCACTCGGTAAGTTTCACGTCTTTGTAAACTAAAGTTGTATGCGTTTTATGAAGGATTGTGCTATAGCCTGACTTCGTCATACTCATATTCTTGTCGGAAAGTGAGTGCTGCTCCGTAGGGCTTTGATTATGAGGCGTGTCTTAACCGAACCAGGAACAACAACTTTAAACCAACCATCCAGAGCAACGCAATAAGTGAACTAATTTGCATACAGTTGTCAACTACAGAACGTAGCCTAACTTTACTTATTTTAGAAGTTAAATAACAAGTGTTGCTTATTTTAATAAGTGCGACCAAAGGACAAACCACAACGACCACAGGCTTTTCATTACGTCCCATCTTCTTAGCGACCATCAGAGCCAGCTGATAAGTTACACTTTTGCCGAATCATGTAGGAAGAAGGGCAAAGATCTCTTTCCGATCAACAAATGCCTTGATTGCAGTTCTCTGTTCGTCTATTAAAATGAATGCGCTGTCGATTCATTTCACAACAGACGCGACAGCGGAATCTAGGCCTATATAAATCTCAATTCTCCAGCTGCAGTCATCTCTGAGGGAAACCAGTTGCGCTCTTTGATAACGTGATGATTACGTCCTTGCAGATCATCTGTGATCTGTCCATCATTGTATAAAGCCCGCCCTGGCAATTTGATTGAGAAGGGTCTGACTGCAGAGCCGCAGAGCCGCAGTTTTACCCCAGCAGTTTCACCCCAGCAGTTTTACCCCGCGCATGCGCAGTTTCACTATAGCAGTTTTATCCGCTCGTTTTGAATAAGTTATTAAATTGTCTTTACTGCAGTCAGTTCAGCAGTGCTGTTGGACAAATCATTCTTTTATTTAACATATATTCATGTCGCAGGAAACTTGCAGCACCAGGCCGTTGGATCAAAATGAAGAAAACAAAAAACAAACAAAACAAACAAAGTAAGGGTATTTTGTTGTCTTGTTTTCGGGACACTTTAACGTCCTGATTGATTTCTTTGTTTTTCGAAATGCAATTTGCCATTTCAGCATATCTCCCATCAACTCGATATGACATCCTGTCGGGTCTTCATGATTATGGTAAGTTATTGGACTTTTATCAGTCTGTCTCCACTCTGTTATATCAAAAATATATTGTAAAATGAATGTTTCAGTATGCTTTACACATCGTATTGAATGAACCCGTTGATTTCACTGCTGTAAGTCTTATTTCTACGTTATATTAATATTATTGTTGTTAATAGTATTCATGGAAGTATTGCTTTTTTCTCAGCATGACAATTATGACACAATAAGTGGTGCCTTCTCCTCGTGGAGAATTTTGTTTCTAGGGTTTAGTTATTATTATTTGTCATTTAGCAGACACTATTATCCAGAGTGACTTTTAGTAAACTAACTTTAGGGACAGTCCTTGCTCAGGACTCAGTATTCTGCACAACTTTGTTCTCATTGTTGTCTTTTTGTATTTTGTCAGACATGGAAGGTGGCTTGCACATTGGGCTGAGGCGGTTGGATTGCACATGGCGGTTGGATCTTGCCTCACTGACAGTGAAGTGAGCTTTTGTTGTCAAAGTATTTTGTTTATTTATTTATCTATCCTATTGTCAGTCGACAATATTCTATACTTAGACTTTCAGGGGACAAAGATATCAGTTGGGTTCTTAAAACACACCAAGTCCCATTGTTGCAGGGTTGATCCTTGAAAGACCCTAAAAGACCCCTGTGAACACACATGTGCCCCAAGCCAAATGGTCTAGAGCTAGTCTGATCATTACAGGCATGCACTACTTTAAATATATGTTCTTGCTAAATGTAATGTTGTAGTTTTATAATGCGGTATTAAAAAGGGCTTAAAAATTTTAACTGGTGGACACCCTGTATTAGGGCAGGGACATTGACCTTTGTTATTTTTGTTTGTTTTTGTAAAATGGATTGATTCAAATAGATGAATTCTCTCGTGCAAATTCGAAGTAAATCAAATCTTAGTTTGGTTCTGCATTGCATATGCATGAAATTATACATTTTATTAAATGAAACATTTTGTAGTGGACAATTGAAATACATTACATCACACTGTGCTCTTCTACAACATATGAATGGACCAGGAGAAATTGAGTATGGAGTAGGAGCGCTGGAGGGGGACACGACACCACACAATCTTGAGGTATTTTGTAGAGTTCTGCAATGTATATAATATATTTAGACGTTTTATTTATCTGAAAATATAAAATTGTTGATTGCTGGTAATTTTCAAATATTTTTCATAAAGAATGCCAATATGATGAGCAGCATCAGGAAAGGTGTGGAATGGTTGAAGGACAATCACCCGCTGATGAAGATCAAGTCCTTGCCACCACGCATTGACAGCATGGAGGAGGAAGAAAGCCCTTTCTCCACTACATTCACATTGTGCCACAACTTTGGATGAGGATGATAAATTAAGAGCCACATTCTATTTTACATTTTAAAACAGAGAGGTCATGCCCTTTTTCATGTCTGAGGTTAAGGACAAAGAAAAATGTAAGAGTGTCATCATTTTAAAACCCTGACATTTAATTATTATTATTTATTTTCTAATTGGTGACAGATTTGCTGTCTGTCTGTCTGTAGCAGTATGTCTGTGTATGTATATTAGACGGTCTGTCTGTATCAATATGTCTGTCTGTGTATCAATATGTCTGTCTGTCTCAGTGTGTCTGTGTATGTATGTCAGTATGCCTGTCTGTCTGTATCAGTATGTCTGTGTATGTATATTAGTTTGTCTGTCTGTATCAGTATGTATGGCTGTGTATATCAATATGTCTGTCTGTATCACTGTGTATGTGTATCAGTGTGCCTGTCTGTCTGAATCGTATGCCTGTCTGTCTGTATCAGTATGTCTCTCTGGTAATTGAATTGAAATATAATTGAATTCTTGGTAATGTCTTCAAAATTAATAAAATATTTGAAATAATTGTTAATAATTTGTGTTCAAGTCATTTGTTTCATCAGGCAGATTTAATTAATTTAAGAATAATTGATGAGTTCAGATGCAAAAGCCTCTAAATGCCATTTGAAATTTTCTTCTAAAATGACCATTTTTATCAAGCTTGTATATTTAAGTTCAGTAATTTCACTTAAATGGCAATTAATCTTCATTGCCATTTAAGTGAAATTACTGAACTTAAATATACAAGCTTGATAAAAATGGTCATTTTAGAAGAAAATTTCAAATGGCATTTAGAGGCTTTTGCATCTGAACTCTTCAATTAGACATATATTGATTTAGACTAATAGTTCGCCTTTGAATGTCTAATCAGAAGTTTGTGTTATACCAGGTATTGAGCAATTAAGTGTGTGTATACATACATATACATATATATATATATATATATATATATATATATATATATATATAGGCCATGCTATTTATTGTTTTGGAGGAAAAACGTAAAAGATTAGTGTGCTCCTGATACAAGCACTGTTTTATTTCAGTAAAGGAACCTGAAAGCCTGCGAGCAACAGCAAAAAAATAACTAGTAAGCAAAAATAATTGGTAACAAATACTATATAGGTTATTGACACTGCGCGTGCACGGGTAAAACTGTTGAGGTGAAACTGCGCATGTGCGGGGTGAAACTGTGGCTCTGCAGACTAATAAGCAAAACTAATTAGAAAAAATAACCATTAGATCGTTTTAATACTGAACAATTTGCGCGGGTAAAACTGCTATATTGAAACTACGAATGCGCAGATAAAACTGCTTAAAACTGTTGTGGCGAAACTGCGCATGCGCGGGGTAAAACTGCTGGTGTAAAAACTGCGCATGCGCGGGTTAAAACTGCTGGTGTAAAACTGCTGGGGTGAAACTGCGGCTCTGCGGCTCTGCAGACAGATATTAATAGCCGCGTTTCCACTGCCGGGCTAGGGCTGGGCCAGAGCTAACAGCGAGCCGGGCCGAGCTAGTGGCCTCGGGCCTCAAGCACCGGGCTTGCGTTTCCACTGCCGGGCCAGTAGCCCCACAGCGCTGCCCCAGACCCCACCCCTAACACGCCTTTCAGGATCAAACGTCATAAAACCCAACCCATTTCAGCGGGTATTATAAATTAATTTATTTTTTAAATTAGGAAGATAGCATGTATATTAACTCAACTGCGGTAGTGGCTGCAATAGTGTCCCGAGACCAGTACAGGCGATTCTCCATTTCAAGCAGCGATTTTTTGCGCGATATAACAAGTAGGGCTGCGGGCACGTTTTCAAGTTATTCATTAATCGTTAACCGAGGCCCATCGGTTAATACTCGGTGCATATAGTGTGCGCGCCGCAACCTCGAGATACAGATTTTTTAACACCTTTAATAACTGATTGGACCCCATTTGAAACGAAATTAATTTATAGAAATAAAACGCAGCAAGTAGGCCTACGGAGCAGTTAAAGCCCCATTTCCATCACCCTTTAAACTGAAATTGCCAATTGAAAATAAGCAAAACGTCCATTTCACAAAAACTCCGTGTCTGCAAATAATAATAATAATAATAATAACCATCATCATCATTATTGTAACATTTTATTAGGCTGCATATGTAGAAGACGCCTTTATCCAAAAAAGGAACAGAGCACAAATAAACACAATATTTTTGACAAATATCAGCGCATATCCAGTGTGTGTGGAGCACGCACTGATGGCTGCGAGACGCCCATGTGAACAGTTTCATTGCATTTCTTTCAGAGGAAACAACTTAAAATACTCTTTAATTTCTGGTCATACAGAAAATAATAATACATTATTCGCAAATAAATTTATTTATAACAAGAAAACGTTGTGCTTTAACAATTAATCAAGGCGCGCTTCATGATCTCCGTGAACTGAAGCGCGAGACCTGAAACAGCCGCATTCGAATTTGTTCGTTTTAAATTGGACATTTAAAGCTTTAGTCTACAGGGGTTATATCCTTTGTAGATTAAAGCTTTAAATGTGCAATTTAAAAACAACAAATTCGAATCGAAAGCCAATATCTTCTATGTTTATGTAGCTTAATTTCTCTCTAAATGTGCATCCGGAGATGGAGATATGTTTTTAGCCGAAAATCATTTAGAAAACAATAGTTTATTAATAAACAATTAATGCCTCGTTATTTTATATTATTTTATTATCAGACACATTTATTATAGCCTATAAATCACCCATAAATCCCCTTTCTGTAGGCTGTGGTTACGGCTCTTCTCATTCAGCACTGCGGGGAAAATATCATTTCCAGGTTCTAATTTGGCCTCAGAAAACCAGTAAAATATATATTTTTTTCATATTAATTTGTCAAATATTTTAAATGTTTAAGGGGCAAAAAAATCAAACAAATATCTGAAAATTCGTTGATATGTAGCTATATATAGCCTATATATTGTTGCGCAGCATTTGGCATAGGCCTACAGTTCAAATTAAAATGTTATGCAATTTTAAACGGTTAATCGGTTAAACATGGACGCCCCTATGTGCATCTTGCTTAAGATCATAACGTTCCATAACACCGATAAACTCCGCCTTTTACCTTGAGCACGCCTCTAGCCCGAGCTGGCCCCCTCTGGCCCAAGGTATTCGACGGGCCAGAAATCCTGGCCGTTGGCCCTGAGGAAGCCCCGATCAAGCCCCGGAAGTGACAGTGGAAACGCGACTGGCCCTGGCACGCACTAGCACGGCCCGGCCCTGGCCCGGCAGTGGAAACGCGGCTATTGATTTGATTGGCCCAGGCTAGGATGCTACCACAGAATCCGAAAATTCTTGTGACAGCGGCATCTGTCTAAAAAACAATCTTAACCATTTCTATTTCATCAGAAACGATCTTAAAACAAGGCTTTAATTGTAAAATACCGAACTTGTCCTTTAAACCTCTCAATGATGCTTAATGGCTTCTTTAGTTTAGCAAACAAATCGCTAGAGTGGGTGTAAATACCACTCACTTTCATGTTTTTTTTATTGCACAGCCTGCAAGACTCGCTCTATGCCATTGCTGCTACTGCAAAAACCCTTATGGTGCTATTCCATTACCAGTACCAGCTCGAATCGACTCGGCTCGCTTTTCACTCCGTTTTCCATTGCAGACACTATACCGCCACAAATAGTACCCGGTCGTCATAGCGACGCCTTTTGTTCCTCGCTGCCCCATCAAGCTCTCGCTGGATCCTCTCTTCGGCAACCAAACAAAGGAAAGTCTGCACCTCCTCGTTTGACCACGGCGTATTCTTCCGAGTTGCTAATAATAGTAGTAAGTTTAGAAAATATCTCTGGCCAAACTATTTAAAAATGGCTGGATACTCCATCTGGCACGTGCAATGACGCACGATTCTCTCTGACCAATCAGCAGTCGGCATTGTTTTCATGTGACATTTTAGTATCGCCTCAGCTCTCGCAGAACCTCGCCGGAGGTGGTACTAAAAAAAGTACCCAAAAGCAGGAACAGGTACAACTTTTACACAGTGGAAAACCAAACAAAGGGGAGTCGAGTCGATTCGAGCCGAGCTGGTACTGTGTAGTGGAAAAGCGGCATTAGAAATTTCATTCCACAAACAGGACAGAGGTCAGTCTTTTTATTAGGTATGCACTTCTGGTGGTTCTTCAGTAAAGAGGACAATGCAAATATTTTACAGCAGTGATCAGTTAAATTGCCATACAACAGTGCAGATGACACCACAGTTCCATTTAAGTCTCTTCTCACACGGATGATATGCATAAGCCCCGTTCACACTACACGCGACGCAATACCATTCATTATCAATGGTGAGCGGGCGACTTCCGTCGACACGCGCGACAGCGACCGGTGGGGCGTGTCCAGCGACGCGACAAAGTTGAGAAATGTTTAAATTTATACAAATGAAGGGCGATTTTCGCGAGCGATAACCGAAGTCAGTGGAGCGCGTCACTCTTCAGTACTGAGTCTGACCGAGGCGAGTTGAACGAGAAGCTCATTTTAGCAGTCAGAAACTGAACTATAATTCATGATATATCTCCGTGTACAGTGGTGTTCATTGTACTGACTCCGTGACTGAATGGTTTCAGGGAACCCAGATAGACCGGTATTTAGTTAAATTGCCGCAATGGCAAAGAGCACTCACTGTTTCTCGTTCATCTTTAATATTATGCATTTTCTGTACTGATTCCATTTATATTTAGACTTTAACGCCACCTTCACACTGGCAGTTGAATTCAGCTCCGATGCGGCTGCGAAACGACCGGAAGTCATTCATTTCCTATGGAGATTCGCAGACCGCATGCGAATGGGTCCGACCGAGTGCGGTGCGAAGAAAATCGTGTCCGTTGGTCACTCTTGCGAAAATCTACGGACGGTTCCTATCCGACAATTCCAGCGGAAGTTGAGCATTGCCATGGTACTGATAAACAAACCTGAATTCTTAACTTTTATTAAAATAAATAATGATTTTGTCATTTTTTATTTTCATGACTTTCTAACGTTATTAGGGCAGTTAATACAATTAAATTGTAGGCAGACATTGAACTGTTGACCACCATATATCACATTTTTTAGTCGACCTGACATGTCAACGTCCTGAGCAACTTTCCTCAGCAGCCTATATATTAATACATCTATAAACCTCATCAGAGAGATTATACAGAACTGACAGAATCAACCTTTCTAATCTCTCCGCCATTTTTATTCTAACGTCCGATGCTTTTCACTGTGTAGTACGACATCCGTTGGGAACGTATTGCGTATTACGGAGCTGATTTCAACTGCCAGTGTGAAGGCGGCGTTAGACTTTTCCTTACAAAATATTTGTTTGTAGCGGCAATAAAACGTATTTTTTGTCTAACATAGAGTAACTTCCGTGAATGTCACTCACAAACATTACTAGGCAACCGGTAGTGGGGAACGCCCTCCAGCGCAGCCACAGGCGACCTGCAGCGACAAAGTCGCGTGTAGTGTGAACGGGGCTTAAGGCATCTCTTAAGTGTGTATTCTCACATGAATATTTAATGTTTTTTTACAGATGAAACTCTTTCCACACTGAGAGCAGGTGAAAGGCTTTATTCCAGAATGATTTAACATGTGATTCTTCAGGCTTTCTTTACGTATAAAAGTCTTTCCACACTGAGAGCAGGTGAACGGCTTTTCTGAAGTGTGAATAAGCACATGATAATTAAGGTGTCCTTTCTGTTTGAAACTCCTTCCACACTGAGAGCAGGAGAAAGGCTTCATTTCATTATGAACTAGCATGTGCTTCTCCAGGCTTCCTTTAGACACGAAAGAGTTTCCACACTGAGAGCAGGTGAAAGGCTTGATTCCAGCATGTCTTAACATGTGATTCTTTAAGTATCCTTTACGTGTAAAAGTCTTTCCACACTGAGGGCAAGTGAAAGGCTTTTCTGAAGTGTGAGTTACCAAATGAGCATTAAGGTGTGAATTCTGTTTGAAACTCTTTCCACACTGAGAGCAGGTGAAAGGCTTTATTTCATTATGAATTAGCATGTGCTTCTCCAGGCTTCCTTTAGATACGAAAGAGTTTCCACACTGAGAACAGGTGAAAGGCTTGATTCCAGCATGAATTAACATGTGATTCTTAAAATATCCTTTACGTGTAAAAGTCTTTCCACACTGAGGACAAGTGAAAGGCTTTTCTGAAGTGTGAGTCACCAAATGACCATTAAGATGTGATTTATATGTGAAACTCTTTCCACACTGAGAACAGCTGAAAGGCTTTATTCCATCATGAATTAGCATGTGCTTCTCCAGGCTTCCTTTACATACGAAAGAGTTTCCACACTCAGAGCAGGTGAAAGGCTTGATTCCAGCATGATTTAACATGTGATTCTTTAAGTATCTTTTACGTGTAAAAGTCTTTCCACACTGAGAACAGGTGAACGGCTTTTCTGAAGAGTGAATTAACAAATGCTCATTAAGGTGTGATTTCTGTTTGAAACACTTTCCACACCGAGAGCAGGTGAAAGGCTTTATTCCAGCATGAATTATCATGTGCTTCTTCAAACGTCCTTCACATATGAAAGAGCTTTCACACTGAGAGCAGGAGAAAGGCTTTATTTCATTATGAACTAACATGTGCTTCTCCAGGCTTCTTTTATATCTGAAACTGCATCCACACTGAGAGCAGCTGAAAGGCTTGATTCCAGCATGACTTAACGTGTGATTCTTCAGGGTTGCTTTACGTTTAAAAGTTTTTCCACACTGAGGGCATGCGAAAGGCTTTTCTGAAGTGTGAGTCGCCAAATGACAAATAAGGTGTGTTTTCTGTGTAAAACTCATTGCACACTGAGAACAGGAGAAAGGCTTTATTCCAGCATGAATTAACATGTGCTTCTTCTGGCTTCTTTTATGTATAAAAGTCTTTCCACACTGAGGGCAAGTGAAAGGCTTTTCTGAAGTGTGAATTAACAAATGATCCTTAAGGTGTGAATTCTGTGTGAAACTCTTTCCACACTGAGAACAGGTGAAAGGCTTTATTCCATCATGAATTAGCATGTGCTTCTTCAGATTTTCTTTATGTTTGAAAGTCTTTCCACACTGAGAACAGGTGATAAGCTTTATTCCAGCATGAATTCTCATGTGCTTTATAAGGTATCGTTTACATGAGAAAGTGTTTCCACACTGAGAACAGATGAAAGGCTTTTTCACTTCTGTTATTTGGATGCTGCTTTGTGAGCAACTGTTTTCAGTTTTGGAGCAACTCAACAGCTTCTCTCCAGCGGTGACATCATGAGCTTTCTGATGATGTTTCTCCTCCACTTCATTCAGATCTTCAGGTCTTTCCTCCTTCACTTTCACCAGGCCTAAAAAGAAAAATATTAAAATGATGAAAATCAATTGGGACAGTTGGAAAAGTAAATTAGGGTATGTTTACACAACAACGATGGACTAGCACCGTAAACCAGCTCAATCTCTTCCATCTCAGATAGGGGGATTACTTTATTTTATTTTTACTCTTAACTGATTGCATTTACTGAATGAGCACTGTGCCACTGTTCGTCCGACTGTTACTGTACTTCATTTTATTTTTGATTCTAAATTGTTTTAATTATTTACTGCATTTTATTTTTATTATTATGATTTTTTTACGTTGCTCACAACGGCGTCGCCTACGTGCAAAGCCAACGCCGTACACTACGGCGTACCCTCGACGCAGAAGTATAAATTGCCCTAAAGCCTTGTTTATACTCGACGCGTCCGCAAGAGCGCGAAGGGTGCGCGGCAAAAATGACGTCATTGCAGTGTGGGCGGTCGTGCGAGTAGGGTCCGCAAGACCCCATTGTGCCTGGCGGTGTGCACGGCACTTTTTGTAACTTTGCGCATGGCGCCGCATCCGAAGATGGACGACTACGAGCCGAATCTGGCCGAACTGGTACGATCTGTCAGCATGTTTATGATCCTTCTATACACAGAGACATTTGCATTGATGGGCGACCATAACATCTCATTTTGTGAACAGGAACACATTTGCATTAAAGGGGTGATGAACTGAGAAATCAAATTTTCCTTGAGCTTTTGACATCTAAGAGGTCATCATATTATAAGAATATCCTGTAAGTTTCAGAACTGAAAACGTCCTTGTTAGTCCAATAAAAGCTTTTATTGACACCAGCCTCTGAAAACGCCTCGTTTTTAAAAGTGGGAAACTATGACGTCGAAGGGGTTAAAACAGCACCCCAGCAGAAGAAGATCAACGCCTACTTCAACACGGCCGGTTTAGCCCCGCCCACCGATTCGCGCATTTCACGCATAGCTAAATACCCAGACAGCAAACTGACATTGAATCAACGTGGAAACGACGTCTCTCATGACATTGAAACAACGTTGATTTTGCTCATCGAATTAACGTTGAACCAACGTCAGACGCGGCATTCTTCAAAGCTAAATGAAAATCGAAAATTGGTTTGCTTTCATAACGTTGAAACAACGCGTTGATTTCAAGTTGATTTTCCGTTAGTTTTGAAAGAATGACGCGTCTGACGTTGGTTCAACGTTAATTCGATGAGCAAAATTGTTTCGATGTCATATTTCCACGTTGATTCAATGTCAGTCTGCTATCTGGGTAGCCTAACATACCTCGTGATGACAAACCGGATCGTTCTACCGAGCAATACAGATTATTGTGCAGTGCCTGGTTGTGGAAGAAGACAGTCGCTGCATAAGCTTCCTGTGGATTGGACTTCATGGTTAAACTTCGTCGTCTGTTCGCTTCATTTCACTGAGGATTGTTTTGTAAACAAGACTGGATTTGCAGACGATTAAGAGTAAAGAACGGTGCTGTGCCGTCTATATTGGATCTGGCAGGAATTGTGCAACACACGGACTCTGGGTTGAACATGTATGGGCGAATCCGGTTGCCATTTGACAACATTGGACGTTTTCCCCCATGTGCACCGACGGGTGAGTTAAACTCATTATAATATGCAAAACTGTTATCCACTCACAGCAGTGGGCGTTTATTTCCAAGTCTTCAGTGCGACACGCCCATAAAAACCGACCGTTTTTCAGGAAGGCTCACAACTTGGGTACAAAATAGCCTATTACTTATTCATTTTGATGTTTTTGAATGCAGAAACCAAGCGAACGTCATAAGTTGACCTCAGACAACAATATAATACAATTTTAAAAGCCAGTTCATGACCCCTTTAAGCACCTAGTTTGCACTTGTCTAAATTAATTGGTTACATCCACAAAATAAGCCTACAATAGCAGAATTAAGCCCTGCTGGTAAAATTAAGGTTTAAACTTCAGTTGTTTAACTAGTTTACATGCAGTGAAAGTAGGCTACAATAAACCTACCCCAGACAGCAAACTGACATTGAATCAATGTGGAAACGACATCTCTCATGACATTGAAACAACGTTGATTTTGCTCATCGAATTAACGTTGAACCAACGTCAGACGCGGCATTCTTCAAAGCTAAATCAAAATCGAAAATTGGTTTGCTTTCATAACGTGTTGATTTCAAGTTGATTTTCCGTTAGTTTTGAAAGAATGACGCGTCTGACGTTGGTTCAACGTTAATTCGATGAGCAAAACAATGTCAGATCAATGTTGTTTCGATGTCATATTTCCACGTTATTCAATGTCAGTTTGCTATCTGGGACTGTATTTGCTCTTTTATGAATTAACAATTAATAAATGGCAAACTACTTCTTCGCTGCTGATTCCTGGTGGTTTAGAGGAGAATTACTCCGAGTTCGTCCCCTGTCGTTTGACAGAATAGCACGACGGCGAGCGCGTCAAGGATAATGCCTCGTCCGTTTGAAGAGGTGCGCGCGCAGGCAGCGGAGACTCGCGCTCTTGCGGACGAGTTGAGTAAACAAGGCTATCCACAAGTTTCCTACGCCCCATGAGGCCTTGCGTCAAAAGTGGGCGCGACTGAAGTAAACAAAGCGCGATTTGACATGCTTGACACTCGTTCATTCAACAGTTGACAGTCATTCAAGTTATAGCGATCCAAACTAGCTAACGATGTGGGAACACAACCTCAACGAAATTCAATAGGGTGAAATAACAGTACCTTTACCTCCGCAGTAGTTGATTGGGAGTATTATAATAACATTATTAATAATCAATACTCATCAAGGCATGGTGACAGACAGTTGTGCGAGCTGACAAACAATTAAAATAAAAAATACACACTTCGTCATTGTGCTTTGGAGTTTATTCAAAATTATAAATGAATGTGCTGCTTGAATACATTAACTGGCACATTTGGTATTATAATTCTGTCACCAGGCTTTGATCCTGAGTTTAGGTGTAACATCAGTAGAGAACAGCCAAACACATGCTGATAGTTTATAGAACATTAAGAATTTAAACAAATGTACACAGGAAGATTCGTCGTCTTTTGGGAGGTGATGGAAACTACAGTCGTTGGCAGGATCACTCAGTCTAATTTCGTTTTCAGCTTATGTTCAAAACAATCCCGTTTAAGCCACTAAATTAGTTTAGTCCGGCTATACACACAACCGCGAACAGCACATGTTGTCCCTGAGCTCCGTAACGACATCTTTTATAAAGATTTGCGTCTTTAAATAGTAAAATAATTCTCCGAAAAACAGCTAGCCTCTTCGCTAACTAACACACAAAATACCATTGGAATGCTACTTCCGCCGCGTCACCGGAAGTTTCACCCACTTTATATTTTACAGGAGCGCCCCTCGGAAACTTGTGGATAGACCTTATTCAGAGCAGCGCCATGACAGGTATGAAAGTGAGGCTGTGAGGGATAGACTTACCGTGTTTCCAATGGCATCCGCTGTAAAAAGCTGAATAAAGTGGCTAGATTACTTACAATTTCCCACAGTTTACATTGTCAGGAGTTTTTTGTCAACTGACATTTCTTTGAAAGATATTTTTCCAGTGTTTCATGAGCAGAACAATACGAAAACACATTAAATAACAGTACAGCCCATTGAAGAGATGCAAGTCTATCCCTCACAGCCTCGCTTTCATTCTCGTTAAAAATCAAAGATGGCGCTGCCGTGAATAAGGCGTATTTAAGAGCATTCACTATAATGGCCGCGATTAGCTCCGGCATCCGCGACGCTGACGTTCCGCGCCGTAGACGGATCCAGTGGATTCGATGGGTTACAGTCAAGTGAGATCAAACGACTACTCGACAACAAAGATATCTGTCGATAATTTTTTTATTAATCTAATATAATAATACTAATCGTTTCAGCCCTAATCTCAAGTGCTGCCAGGTCCTTGAGCCCTTTGAGGCAGCAACCGTGTTTCTGAGAATACAGTTATAATACATCTCTGCACTCCCACAGCTAGAGCACAAACTAAGAACATAGCCTACAGAGTCCAGATCTTGAACTATTAGCGCCTTTTTCTTAAATTAAGGAATTCGAGACTTTTAAAGGATCCATGATGTGCACCTTAAAGCTTTATGTATACCACAACAGTCATTAGAGATGAATGAAGAATCACCAACCTCCTTGTTCCTCGTGTTTTATTCTCCAGGGTTCTGGTTCACTCATGTCCTCCTCACTCTCCTCTTTAACAAACACCATCTTCACAGCAGCAGATCTCAGTTCAGTTGATATTCCTCCAGATATTCCTGCTTGATTCAGAACTTAGTCACGTATATGAGGATGGGAATATTACATGTATTTATTGACCTGATTTAAAATGTATTTTTCTACAGACTAAGAGTAAATTTCTAGCAGTTTGTATTAGGCCAGCAACGCGACAAAACAGCAGAGATCTTGCCGAAAACTAATCTTCTTCCTCTGAGGTGGTGGTCGGCAAACAAACGCATGTGTCTTACCGCCACCGACTGGACTGGAGTATGAAGCGTCGAGAGGAGAGGACAAATATGGGGAAGAAATTATTTAGCTCGTATCGAAGCTACATTGCATTTTCCCTTTAAAAATAGATTTGCACAAAGAAGAGAAAGGGACTTAAAATGTATTACAACCGTATGGGATTCGAGTTGTATCAATAGCCTACATGAAAGATGATTAGAAAAACGAGAGAATTTATTCCAGTTGTCAATCATTAACGTTCCCTAATTATTGTTTTTGTTTACTTATAAAAGTCATAAACTACATTTTACAGAATGACTGACGTTAAAGCATTTAAATATAAAACCTACTCAAATGTTAAATCTGGGTTTAGCATGAAAAAACAATGATATTTGGGTTATTATCCGTCTACAGTCTACAAACCTGGGAGTTGAGCAGGGGACTATTGAATGACAGGTAATATGAATTCCATATCGATTCAATATATTTTTTTTATGGTGTTTCTTAAAAACTGCTTTTGAGTTAAACAATTATGCCTTTGTGTGTCTCGTGCGCAAAGGAGTAACATCTGATTCTGCGTTTTGGTGAAGACAATTTTGAGGATATTATTATATTTTCCCTCCAACTTTGGAAGAAGCTCTGTGAGACCTGATGTCAGAGCAAGATATTAAGCATCCAATAACTTAGCACTCAAAAACAGTGAGATTCCAGTTGAGTCATTACCAGTTTGTTCCAATGATTCTTACAGCATTACTAATGAAAAGCCAATAAAATTTAGAATCTTATCACACAAGATATGCACAAACACACACACGCACACACATACGTTTGGTTCCCAGTGAAGTCCATTATGAAGAAAATCATGGAATGTTTTAATCAAAAACCTTAATTTCTTTTCAACTGAAGAAAGAAAGACATGGATATCTTGGATGACATGGGAGTGAGTAAATTATCAGCAAAAGTTTTTTCAAAAGTTAAATATTCCTTTAATAGTGAACTAACACATTCATCTGTGTGCTATTAGTTCGTTAATCAGAGTTTCTTGTTAATAATAGTTACTAGATTGTTAACATTGTGTTACTCATTGGTTCTTGTTTAGTTATTCATTAACGAAGGAACCGTAATACTAAAGTGTTGCCAGATTTTCTTTATATTTAAAACTCATGTCACACAGGGAGCAGACGAAAGGCTTTATTCCAGTGTGAATTCTCATGTTTGGTGGAGGCAATCCAGAACTACTGTTGGGGAAATAATAATCAGACCCGCCACAATCTGCCAGCGATTTGATTTCGCCAGTGGCGTAACTTTGTTTTAAAAAGTGGGTGGGACATGTGTATAAATGAATTAATCTCGTGACACGTAAATAAAAACATAGATCCGACTTTACATGTCCAGTGGAAATAGCCTTTTGGTGGGTTGGACACGATGACGATAGAGAAGCGTCAGCAAGCAGCTTTCCTTTAAAGGACAAGTTTGGTATTTACAATTAAAGCCCTGTTTAAAGATTGTTTCTGATGAGATAGAATGGTTAGAATTGTTTTTTAGACAGATGGAGATAGGTGCACAGGTACAATCCTTCAAAAAATGCATAAAACTTTTGTTTACAAAGACGTGAAACTCACCGAGTGGTCTGGGGTGTCCACTGATATGCTCTGACAAAAATCGCCTCAAAAGATGCTTTCAAACAGGTGTTTTAGCATTCGTTGAAAAACTGTAGACCTATTTTTCCCAGACATTCTTCCGTTGAGAGCTTGAATAATAGACACTCCAGCCCAGTTGGTGCCGATAATGCACCTTTGCCAATTGCAAGCAAATCACTTGTATAGTGTAGCCTACCGCGACTGCATAAGTCTACAGAAAAAATATAAACAACCCCATTTCCGTTTCCGGCAGCGGAGTAATACCGTACATCACACAACACACAATACAAGTCAATCAAGTTGTACAGTAACAACTATAAATCCTGTTTGAAAAAAACAACAAAAATAACGACTTTATTTCAACTATTCGTTTATTTCTCCCTCTGCGCGAGTCAGATTACTAGTTTAATAGCGTAAGCTTCTGTTATTGTACGTCACACGCATCACACACACATGACCAGCGTCGGCCAATAGTGAGCCTACGTGTGACGTAGCTCTACGCAATCACACTACGTTAACTGACTAGAGGCGCATAGAGAAGGAAGTGAATAGTTGAAATAAAGTCGTTATTTTTGTTGTTTTTTTGCGCACAAAAGTGTTCTCGTCGTTTGATAAACTTAAGATTGAGCCCCTGTAGTCACTTGGACTATTTTAACGATGTCTTTAATGACTTTTCGGGGACAGCAAGAGCCAGTCCCTCAAGAAGCCTATGGACTGTATGCAGGAGCGATCTTAATATCTTAAATATCTTAATTTGTGTCCCGAAGATGAACGAAGTTCTTACGGGGTTGGAACAACATGAGGGTGAGTAAATACTGACAGAATTTTCATTTTTGGGTGAACTAACCCTTTAAGTCATTAATTACTCACCCCCATGCTGTACCAACCCCGTAAGACCTTCGTTCGTCTTCGGAACACAAATTAAGATATTTTTGATTAAATTTGAGAGCTGTATCACTACCACATTGGCTGCCTAAGGGACTGGCTCTTGACGGCCCAGAAAGTCAATGAAGAAAATGTTTAAATATCCCATGTGACTACCGTGGCTCAACTATAAGTTTATCAAGCGACGAGAATACTTTTTGTGCGAAAAAACAAACAAAAATAACGAGTTTATTCGACTATTCCTTTTCTTCCTTGTTGGCCTGAAACGAGACTTCCTTAGATTTCCACGACGCATGCGCGAGAATTTCGATCTCTGCTTCAACTACTTCAGTTCAGTTCTCGCGCATGCGTCGTGGAAATCTAAGGAAATCTCGTTTCAGGCCAACAAGGAAGAAAAGGAATAGTCGAATAAACTCGTTATTTTTGTTTGTTTTTTCGCACAAAAAGTATTCTCGTCGCTTGATAAACTTATAGTTGAGCCACTGTAGTCACATGGGATATTTAAACATTTTCTTAATTGACTTTCTGGGCCGTCAAGAGGCAGTCCCTTAGGAGCCAATGTGGTAGTTATACAGCTCTCAAATTTAATCAAAAATATCTTCATTTGTGTTCCGACGACGAACGAAGGTCTTACGGGGTTGGTACAGCATGGGGGTGAGTAATTAATGACTTAATTTCGTTTTTGGGTGAATTAACCCTTTAACATGTAATGGGACCGCAGGGTAGACCAACAGTACAAATGTGCGCATCACACATGCAGGACATCAGTTCTGACTGGATCGCTCCCCAGATCGTCAATATCTAACATTTGCGTTTTTATTCGTTGACGAATATGTCAATAGATTTTCTTCATAGTTTTTGTCATTCAAAACTAGTTTTATTTAGTTATCGTCTCGTTTTTGTCTGTGAAAAAATGTCGTTGACGAAAATAATAAACGGAAACTTTTTTTATGGCATGTTTTGCAGACAGGCGATCCGTCTTCTTCAATTACACCCTTGTTATTCTTTGTGTACGCAAAATGCTCCAACAATGCTGACTTGAGGCGTTTTTTCTGTGGAAATGGAGCGTTGCTGCTTAGTCCCTCTGCCATAGTGACTGATGAGCACTTTCAGCTGGTGCAACTTTTTTTCGTTTTGTTTTAGTTGCCCGTGCGGAACACTCGGTGTAGCATAGTCTTTACGATTAATTAACCGTGACGTTTTAAATCGCAGTTAATTGTGAAATCCGGTAATCGCTGCATCCCTACATATAACAGAGTGAGAGCGTGCAGATGACACCTCAGTTCCATTTAAGTCTCTTCTCACACGGATGACATGCATAAGGCATCTCTTATGAGTGAATTCTCACATGAATATTAAATGTTTCTTTACGTTTAAAAGTCTTTCCACACTAAGAACAGGTGAACGGCTTTTCTGAAGTGTGAATAAGCACATGATAATTAAGGTGTGATCTCTGTTTGAAACTCTTTCCACACTGAGAGCAGGAGAAAGGCTTTATTTCATTATGAATCAACATGTGCTTCTTCAGGCTTCCTTTAGATACAAAAGAGTTTCCACACTCAGAGCAGGTGAAAGGCTTGATTCCAGCATGAACTAACATGTGATTCTTTAAGTTTCCTTTGCGTGTAAAAGTCTTTCCACACTGAGGGCAAGTGAAAGGCTTTTCTGAAGTGTGAGTCACCAAATGATCCTTAAGATGTGATTTCAGTGTGAAACTCTTGCCACACTGAGAGCAGGTGAAAGGCTTTATTCCAGCATGAACTAACATGTGAGTCTTAAAGTATCCTTTACGTGTAAAAGTCTTTCCACACTGAGGGCAAGTAAAAGGCTTTTCTGAAGTGTGAGTTACCAAATGAGAATTAAGGTATGATCTCTGTTTGAAACTCTTTCCACACTGAGAACAGGTGAAAGGCTTGATTCCAGCATGAATTAACATGTGCTTTTCAAGGTATTGTTCACATGAGAAAGTCTTTCCACACTGAGAGCACGTGAAAGTATTATTTCCTCCAGGATGAATTAACATGTGATTCAAAAGGCTTCTTTTATGTTTGTAAGTCTTTCCACACTGAGAACAGGTGAATAGCTTTTCTGAAGTGTGAATAAACAAATGATCATTAAGGTATGATTTCTGTGTGAAACTCTTTCCACACTCAGAACAGCTGAAAGGCTTTATTCCATCATGAATTAGCATGTGCTTCTTCAGACTTTCTTTATGTTTGAAACTCTTTCCACACTGAGAACAGGTGAATAGCTTTTCTGAAATGTGAATAAACAAATGCTCATTAAGGTGTGATTTCTGTGTGAAACTCTTTCCACACTCAGAACAGCTGAAAGGCTTTATTCCAGCATGAATTAACATGTGCCTCTTCAGACTTTCTTTACGTGAGAAAGTGTTTCCACACAGAGTACAGGTGAAAGGCCTTTTCTCTTCTGTTATTTGGATGCTGCTTTGTAAGCAACTGTTTTCAGTTTTGGAGCAACTCAATGGCTTTTCTCCAGCGGTGACATCATGAGCTTTCTGGTGATGTTTCTCCTCCACTTCATTCAGATCTGGTCTTTCCTCTTTCACTTTCACCAGGCCTAAAATGAAAAACATTAAAATGATGAAAATCAATTGGGACAGTTGGAAAATAAAAAAGTAAATTAGGGTATGTTTACACAACAACGATGGACTAAATATTTAAATGTTTTTTGCTTCACATTTTAAAAAAAAGTGGACAGATGACAACGTTGTCAAAACAATCCCTGTTCGAACAGATCCATGAAAACTAAAACTGCTGTATTATTCTTCATCTTCATGATTATGGAACAAAATACAGGCAAATGATTAGACTATAATACCTAATAGTGTTACAATAAGAACAGCCCTGACTTCTAAGCTCAATCAAGCTTTATTCAATGCTAAATAAATCATCACATTACTCTAATTATATTATTATTGATAATATTATTTCTTTTATTAGTAGTATTGCATTATCTAGTAAAGAGATTTACGTTACCAGTTAGAAACACTGACTGAATTCTCACCGGCTCCTCTTTTGCCGGGATGTTTCCTCTTTAAGTGCTCCGACATGCATGTTGTGCTCCCGTGAAAAGCAAGTTCCGCCTTGTATGTATTGCACAAGACAGCATTGTTTGTTTTAGTTTTTGTGAAACTTTCCCAAACCTTGCTAGTTCGGATTTGTTTGCACTCCGTCATAATTCGCGCTATTTTTTTTCTTTTACCACAATAGCATTTGTGGCTGCGTTACACTCTAGCGCCAAAGCGCCGTAGCGGTCAAATCGTGATAGTGCATGCCCTTACATTAGGTCAAGCGAGATCAAACGACTACTCGACAACAAATATATTTGTCGACAATTTTTTTTATTGTAAAATTTCGACTAATCGTTTCAGCCCTAATCTTAAGCCTGAACAGTGAAACCTGATTGAGGTGCTGAGGTCCTTGAGCCCTTTGAGGCAGCAACCGTGTTTCTGAGAGTACAGTTAATACATTACACTCTCTGCACTCCCACAGCTAGAGCACAAACTTAAGAACATACAGAGTCCAGATCTTTAACTTATTAGCGCCTTGTTCTTAAATTAAGAAATTCAAGACTTTTAAAAGATCCATGATGTGCACCATGTTTAAAGCTTTGTTAGATATGTACCACAACAGTAATTAGAGATGAATGAAGAATACACACAAACCTCCTTGTTCCTCGTGTTTTATTCTCCAGGGTTCTGGTTCACTCATGTCCTCCTCACTCTCCTCTTTAACAAACACCATCTTCACAGCAGCAGATCTCAGTTCAGTTGATACTCCTCCAGATATTCCTGCTTGCTTCAAAACTTAGTCACGTGTATGAGGATGGGAATATTACAGGCATTTATTGACCTGATTTAAAATGAATCTTTCTGTAAACTAAAAGTACATTTCTAACAGTTTGTATTAGGCCAGCAACGCGACAAAACAGCAGAGATCTTGCCGAAAACTAATCTTCTTCCTCTGAGGTGGTGGTCGGCAAACAAACGCATGTGTCTTACCGCCACCGACTGGACTGGAGTATGAAGCGTCGAGAGGAGAAGAAAAATATGGGGAAGAAATTATTTAGCTCGTATAGAAGCTACATTGCATTTTCTCTTTAAAAATAGATTTGCACAAAGAAGAGAAAGGGAATTAAAATGTATTACAATCGTATGGGATTCGAGTTGCATCAATGAAAGAGGATTAGAAAAACGAGAGAATTTATTCCAGTTGTCAATTATTTCTGTAAAAATCACAGAACGTTCCCTAATTGTTATTTTTGATTACTTATAAAAGTCATAAACTACATTTTACAGAATGACTGACGTTAAAGCATTTAAATATAGTAAAACCTACTCAAATGTTAAATCAAGGTTTAGCGTGAAAAAAACAATGATATCCTCATTATGCGTTTACAGTCTACAAACCTGGGAGTTGAACAGGGGACTATTGAAGGTAATGTGAATTCCATATCAATTCAATGTGATATTTTTGATAGTGTTCCTGAAAAACTGCTTTTGAGTTTCAAACTTGTCATTGAGCTCGATGTTGCATTTTGCAGCATTATGCCTTTGGGTGTCTAGTGCTGTGCAAAGGAGTAACATCTGATTCTGCGTTTTGGTGAAGACAATTTTGAGGATATTATTATATTTTCCCTCCAACATTAGAAGAAGCTCTGTGAGACCTAATTTCAGAGCAAGATATTAAGCATCCAATAACTTAGCACTCAAAAACAGTGAGATTCCAGTTGAGTCATTACCAGTTTGTTCCAATGATTCTTACAGTAGTTAAAATAGGAAAAATAGCGTTCGGAAAAATAGGTCTACGTTTTACAACGAATGCTAAAACACCTGTTGGAAATCATCTTTTGCAGCGATTTTTGTCAGAGCATATCAGTGAACACCCCAGACCACTCGGTAAGTTTCTTGGTAAGTTTGGAGCTTTTCGCTCCGTTTTCCATTGCAGACACTACCGCCACAAATAGTACCCGGTCGTCATAGCGACGCATTTAGTTCCTCGCTGCCCCATCGAGCTCTCGCTGGATCCTCTTTTCGGCAACCAAACAAAGGAAAGTCTGCACCTCCTCGTTTGACCACGGCGTATTCTTCAGAGTTGCCATAATAATAGCACGGCCGCATTAACCATAGGGCTAGGCGGGGCTTAAGCCCCGGGGCCCAAGCAAGAAGGGGGCCCGTGATTGGCTGCGGAGCAGATACTGCAAGCCATCTGATTACCAAAGCCTTACCACGCAACGTCCCCCACAAATTATCCCTGTTAGTTGCACTTTGCCTTATATTCCATGCATTATCATGGAATCGTTATCATTAATAGAGACGTTCGCAAAGACCCGCCTTTTTTAGGTACTATGTGACGGGCCACGAGTCAGGCGGGTCTCGCGAGTCACGCACATCATGTTCTCATGCACTCAAGCAGTGAAAAATACTTCGCGGGGCAAAGACTAAAGTTACACCGAGTGATTACGAGAAAGAGTTCAGAGCAGCTTACTGTTGATATGAAACAAAGTCTCAACTTTCAAATATTGTCATTTAAGTAATTTAAACATTACCGTTTTCAAGTTCATGTCCACCGGCTGACAGCTTTGTTGTCGGACAAAGTTGCGTATTCGGCGTTATGATTGGCCAGGCCACCTGTCATTCAAACCCCCGTAGGCATGCAGGGCCAACGGCTCTGAGCAGGGCATGGTAAATTGAAATGTCAGGTTTTAATTTGATATGACAAATATATTTATTCTATATTTAACTTGTGAACGACCGACCTGCTGCTGCACGTAGGCCTACCCTTACGAAAATTAACCATGGTTTTTTTGTAGTAACTATGGTTTTTTTGTAGTAACCATGGTTTAACTATAGTTTTTGTAGTAAAACCATAGTAACTACAAAATGAACCATAGTTTAACTATGGTTTTTGTAGTAAAACCATAGTAACTACAAAATGAACCATAGTTTAACTATGGTTTTTGTAGTAAAACCATAGTAACTACAAAATGAACCATAGTTTAACTATGGTTTTTGTAGTAAAACCATAGTAACTACAAAATGAACCATAGTTTAACTATGGTTTTTGTAGTAAAACCATAGTAACTACAAAATGAACCATAGTTTAACTATGGTTTTTACAGTAAAACCATAGTAACTACAATCAAACCATGGTTTTTACTACAATAACCTTGGTTTAACCATGGTTTTTGTAGTTAAACCATAGTAACTATAAAATGAACCTTGATTTTTGTAGTAAAACCATAGTAACCATAAAATGAACCATGGTTATTGTAGTAAAACCATGAAAATGTTTTTTATACAGTAACCATTATATATAATATAGTTTTGTATAAGAAAACCATGCTCTTAATAGAATAATCTTAAGGTCATAAATAATTGTATTATTATAGTTATATAGTACGTGTGTGTATGTATATATATATATATATATATATATATATATATATATTAGGGATGTCCCGATCCGATCCACGGCATCGGTATCGCGCCGATACCGGCCCAGAACGCTAGATCGGAGATCGGAGGGGAGAAAAAAATATGAGCGATATCCAGTTTAGCGGCGCAGCCTGTCACGTGATAATTGTTGTGTTTACGCACACGCGCGCAGAGAATCACTCTCGCTTTGCGTGTTAAGGCCAATTTATACTTCTGCGTAGGGTGCGCGCAGTAGGTACGGCGTAGCATACGCACAGACGCGTCCCATACCGCGTACCCTTCCGCGTTGCCTGACGCGCACCTCTTCAAAAATGTAACTACACGTCGCGACGACGCGGACCGCAAGATCGGTGATTGGTCGGCTTGGTAGCGTCGTATTTCCTCCTACGCATTTCCGCACGTACCTTCTCACGCATTTCCACACGTACCATCTCCTCCGACGTCTTCTGTCATTTCTGCCTTTCAGTTTTAGTAATTTCACTAAAATGAACTGTTTTTCCACCCCAATAAGCTCCAACTCCAACATGATCAACTCTCTTTCAGTCGCTATTGCTTGTAGTACCCTAGCCGCGAGGAATCTAAACACAGTGGAACATTAAAACCCTCCGCCGCCAACTAGCGTTTCGGAGCAATACTGCAGAGCAACCAATACCTGAACGCAGAAGTATAAATGCTCACGACGGCGTCGCCTACGTGCGAAGCCAACGCCGTACACTACGGCGTACCCTCGACGCAGAAGTATAAATTGGCCTTCAAGAGCGAAACTGGCGCGCGTAAAAGGGCCGTTACATAGTCAACGCGAGCTACGCGAGAAAGCAACGCGAGTGACGCGAGCGACGCGCTTCCTTTCAAGTTTGAAGCGAAATTTACGCGCGTGACGCGCGTCAGAATCAAAATCCGTTGGCGGTCATTGTTTTTATGTCGACCGAGCATTCATCAAGAGAGTTACCGCTCTGTATTTACTCTGGATAGCAGAACAGCGGCGTGGGGATCATCGTCGCCGTATATTTGTGTCCACCGGACCCTTCGGAGCCGAACCGTTTGGCGAGTTTCACCATTTGCTCGCTCCAGGAGCTGCGCTGGATGACGGCCGCTGTCAGCGGTACTTCCGCCTGTCACGCGCCCAGTTTGATGACCTGTTGTCCCGCATCTGAGCGAGGATCACCCTCGCCCGGCCCCTCATCCATCTAATCTAGCTGTCATTTATTTTTGTTTTGATAATAAATAGAGCCAGCCTTCAAAAGTTATTAACCTGTCCTGTGATTTTTTTTCTCTCTCTCACGTCCAGACACGAATTTATGCACATATGTTGATTGTCTTTACAACATAATACTATTTCTAGATATGGAATGAATAACATTCAATACAAAATGAACATGTCTCCATATAGAAATAATGTTTTAAGTGATGAAACATTTGCTTTGTTGTGCATAATCCCACCATGCATTTAGTCATATTAACAAAATAATTTATTGAAGCATCCAGACACTTCACCACGTGAGCAAGCAGCTAGGCTCCTGATTGGTTAACGCGGCGCGAATTCACGCCAAAGTTCAGCCAACTTGACGCGCGAATGAGGCGTATTCGCGTCTTCCGCGCCGCGCTCCACGCCTTCGCGCCGCAGGAATTTTTCTTGCATTGACTTAACATTGAAATCATTCGCGCCTGACGCCCTATTCGCGTCCGGTGTGAACGTAGCATTAGTGCGTCGAAGTTGTGATAGCGCTGTCGGCTAACGCGAAATGCTACTATTTACATTCCATGGATGTTTATTCATATATACAATTGTTTTGGACTAAAAACTTCTTCAAATTGGATTGTATGGACGCTTTACAGTGAAACCAAACCATTTTTGTTGGAATGTGGACTAACAGATGGCTAATTGGTGAGTTTCTTCCAGTTTGTGTTGGTTTGTTTTGGCTGTTGGTGGTCTGACAAAGAGACAGATTGTGCCCGCTGTGTTGATTGTATCTTAAAATGGTTTACGTCGTTCGAATCACGAGTTTCTCAGCTTTCCAAAGATATGTATTATGTTTACTTTTGTGTTTGTTTTGTTTTGTCTTTCACAAAGTTAAACCTATAAACCACCCTGTGGGCCGTATACGGCACGTCGGACCACGAAAAAAAAAATATCGGACTAATATCGGTATCGGCAAAAGCCAAAGGTGCGGCATCGGTATCGGTATCGGAAGTGAAAAAGTGGTATCGGGACATCCCTAATATATATATATATATATATATATATATATATAAACCATTCTTCATTTTGTAGTTGGTAAAAAAAAAACTATAGAAGTGAATGGGCCATAGA